AAGTGTTTTGCATTGAAATTTTTTTCAACACTGTGTCAACTTTGGGAGAAGGAGCCTGAACCCCCGAGACCGCCCCGGGGGGGCGTGGCTGGCTGGGGCATTCTGGGAGTTGAAGTCCACTCCTCTTAAAGTTGCCAAGGTTGAGAAACACTGTTATAGGCAAACCATTTCCAGAATGTTGCCAAGAAGACAAAACACTGCAAAGCAAAATAAAACTACAGAGGAACATTTGCAACAGAGTTACACCTGGCCCCAATCACTTTCTAGGAAACGGATTTATTTTTTTTCCAGGAAAAAAATGATCGAGGGCCTGATCCCCTCCAAGGGCTCGCAAACAAGCCTCGAAACGTCGAAAGGAACCGCGTAAAAAGGTGGTGCCCAGGGAAGCTCGCCTAAAATTTCTATCCCGTCTTTTGTCTTCCTCAGCGTTAGAAACCGCATCGCAAAGCCTGTTTACTCCCGATGCCTTGAAAAGCCAGCCCCGCTTCGCTCGATCGTGCTCCAATGCGCCGAGAAACGTCCAGCCCCTTTGCACAAGAGAAAGCGGAACAGCTGCGGCCGGGAGTTACTTCAATCCGCACTCACTCCGGATCGCCAAGGACCGCCCTCTCTCGCAAGAACGAGAGCACCTTCCAGAGCTGCGCAGAGACCAGTTTTCCTTCCCGCTGGGGGGGGGGGCGAAGGGGGGAGAAAGACTCCCCCCAACCCAACTTTCCTGCCCTCCGCTCCGCATCTGCCCGTTTCCAGCGCCGTTTACACGAGGAGGCGGGGTTCTCCGCCAGTTTCAGGCACGGAGACGTCACATGATGGGGTTTTTTTTTTAAACAGACGCTTCGGGAAAAGAGGTCGGGCCCCCTCCCCAACTTCTGAGCCGGCCCACATTCCGAAGCGCACGTGACGCTGCTTGCGCCTGATTGCCTCCGGCAACCCACGGCAGTCACTCCGGAGTATAAAAGGAGTACGGCTGGGGAGCGGGGAGTGGCTGCGCCATTAGGGGAGGCGAGGCTTCACTTCGGTCGGGTGAGTCGGGGCGAGGGGTCTTTTTTTCTCTCCGAGAGGGACTGAAAAGAAGAACTTCTTGAGAAGTTCGGCCGCTCCGGTTTCCACGCGTGAGCGCGCCGGGCGGGTCTGTGCGCGGGTTCGGGCGGTTCGTCCTCCTCCTGGTTCTGCCCGTGCAGGGGTTTTGAATCACGCCCCCCTCCCCAGCCGGTGCCTGCTAAAAGCTGTGGAATGAGGGGGTCTTATGTTAAAGCAAACGTGTTCACTGGCAGTGAATTTGGTGCTCCTGAATTCGCCTTGCGGCGCCTGCACGGATCGATTGAGACGTGCCTTCGAGTCGGTGTCGGCTCGTAAATGGGGGGAGCGTTTCAAGGCGTGCCGCTGCTTTCAGTAAAGCCTCCTTTGGGAAGGGTAGTCTATCTGGGCGTAGGTGGTTCGTGCAGCTTCAGCTGCTACACCGCCGGAAACCGCGTTTCTGAAAGTATTTGCCGGAGGTCAATGATACTTGCAAAAATGTAAAACAGTGCCGCTCTTATTTTTATTCTTTTTTTAAAAATAGGGTGTTTTTTTTCCTGAAAAATATTTTATGGAAGTTCATATCCAGCGGGTTGACTTGTTATTTTTACATGATTCGATCAATAAATATTCTACCCATGCATTGATTTAAAGGGTGAATAGGGGCTTATTCATATCGATAAATAGGACAAAAGCTCTTTTGGGGTCCTCTATAATCTTTAAAAGTGGGAGGGGGTCCTGAGAGCAAAAAGTTGAAGCAACTCTGCTGTGGGATATAGCCAGGTTAAGAGGCCACCCAGCAATTGCAGCCCCAGTTCTGCTTCACGTGATGCCACGCTGCCCACGAGGATCTGCCCCCACACGGTGCATGGTGGGCCCTGCTCCTTGGGCACATCAGTTTGTGGCCTCGACCTGGCTTTGCCCGTGGTCTCCTTGCCCACCATGGTTGAACTGGGGTTAACCATAGTTTATTCATTCAGTTTCCT